AAAAATCTATTAGTATATTTCACCACATTAACAGATTAAAGGAGGCAAATCATATGATTACCTCAACACACGTAAAGAATATTCAATAAAATTTAACATCATTCATGATAAAAACTCTTAGCTGACTAGTAATGGTTCACCTGATAAATTTCATACTCAGTGGTGAAACATAAAAATAGTCACTTTTAAAAGCAGATAAGAATACCCTCTATTATCAGTTACATAGACTATTAAACTGAAGGGCCCAGCAAGTGCAATAAGACAAGAAAAGGAAATAATAAAAATGAAAGAGAAATAACAAGTAAACAGAAGAATGAAAACCATGAGTAACCACAAATCATATGACTGACCACACAGAAAACCAGAAGAATCCTCAAATGAATAGAATTAATAAGCGTTTAGCAAGGTTTCTGGAGATTAGATCAGCATATGAGAATGAATTTCCTTCATAATTCAGCAAAAAATAATTATAAAATGTACCTTTAAAAATCCAAGTAAAATTAACAATAAACATAAAATAGCTAGAACTAACTCTAATAAAAGGCCAGCCCCACTGGCCTAGTAGTTAAGATTCAGCGCTCTCACTGCCACGCCTGCACAGGTTCGTTTCCCAGTCAGGGAACCATGCCACCCCTCTGTTGTCTGTCACACTGTGGCGGCTGTGTGTTGCTATGATGCTGAAAACTATGCCACCAGTATTTCAAATACCAACAGGGTCACCCATGGTAGACAGGTTTCAGTGGCGCTTACAGACTAAGACAGACTAGGAAGAAGGACGCGGCCTTCTGAAAAAATTGGCCACGAAAACCCTATGAATAGCAGCAGAGCATTGTCTGATAGAGTGCCAGAAGGCGAGATGTTGGCTCAGAAAGACCAGGCAGGGTTCCACTCTGCTGAACAGAGTTGCTAGGAGTCATAACCAACTCAACAACAGTAACAACAAAAAATCTACTAAAAGGTACAACAGACTTTTTTGGAGAAAATTATGAAATTTTATTGAAAGACATTAAAGAAGAACTAAATAAATAGGGACACATATCATGTTCATAGTTAAAGGATATTATTATAAAAATGACAGTTCTCCCTAAATTGATCCAGAAATTCACTGTACCTCAATCACAAATCACAACAGTTTTTTAAGAAGTTGATAATCTGATTCTAAAACCGAAGTGAAAAAGCAAAGGACAAGAAAGGAAAAGCAAATGACACTCCTGAAAATGAAAAAGGTGGTATATGTCCTTTACCAGATACCAAGACCTATTATAAAGCTATAATAAATAAGACAGTGGAGTATTAGTACCGGGAACAGCAAACAGACCAATGGAGCAGAATACAGAGCCCACAAATAGACCCACATTTAATGGAAACCTGACATATGACAACTATCACTATAGATCAATGAGAAAGGATAGGCCATTCTATGATTATATGAATTCATTGATTATCTATATGGGAAAAATAAAAAGAAATCTACTCTCTATCTCACACTTCACACACACATACACACACAAATCAATTCCAGATGGAATAAGGACTTAAGTACAAAAAGCAAAACTTTACAATTTTGAGAAGAAAATGTAGACAAATATCTCCTTTAAAGAATTTTTAAACAATAGAGAGATATGAATTGATAGCCCAAGATCCCCAAAATATGTATAATAGGAATTTCAGAGGAAGAGGGCTGAGAAATGACTTGGGTCTACAAATTAAAGAAACTAACCTAATAATTTTTAAAGAGCTAATTCTTTGGATGAAAAACAACAATAAAATAGATGAAATGCTATTAAGCCTAATAAAGAAAAAAAGAGAAATAATACAGATCTATAAAATTAGGAATGAGGATGAAAACAGAACAGATACAGCAGCATTTTCTTTGATTGTAGTAATAGGTATAAATCCATATAAGGTAATAGGCAATAACTGGGGACAACCAAGCCACTGAATTAACTGAAGAAGTAGAAAGTGATCAAAGAATTCTCTCCAAAAACGGTGCTAGGCCCAGTTTTACAAAGGAGTAAAGGGCATACACATCTTATAAAATTTTATAAGATATGCATTTGCGAAAATCTTTTATAATTCAAAACTCACATAATATAACATCATTTTCAAGAAAAGATGATGGATATCCTGTTTACCAGCTAAACCATAAATACAATTCACCTGGCCACCACCCTTTAAGTTACATGACTGTTAAGCATTTTTTTAATTTAGGTTGATTCATATTATTACACATTTTGTACATAAAGCAAGACTATTAAGATGTTTATATCATGTAATTTCCAACTTGCATAACTCAAATTCATAAAGAGTGGCTCTAGTGTATTTTCAAACCTTTAAGAAATAATCATTCTCATGCCAGATTCTGTTCAAGAGCACAGAAAATGATAGTACGCCTCAAAAAATATTTTATGAAACTATTATAACCCTGATATCAAAGTCTAACAAAGACTATCTAAAAGTAATACTTATTAATAGAGGTGCAAAAATCCTAAATAAGTAATAAATCTAACTAAATAATATATCCTAAAAGTTCTCCTTAGAAACCTCCCCTTAACCAGGGTTTACAAACGCCATCCTTCTCTCTGCTAACAATGAGACTAAGGTTGCGAGGCAGCTGAAAGCCCGCAGCTAGCCTAGGATGTCCCCTACAGCTCCCAGCAAAGGAACTGCATGTTTCCAGGAGTCAGCTGCTGGGTCCAAAATCTGTTTATGCCAGTTATACTAATGTGGTAATTAGATCAATAAGTAAATATTACAAAAATGTATAAAATTTGAATTTAAAAAGAAAGGGCATTTTACCTACGAAAACAAATTTAATGCTATTGATTTTTTTTTAATGATGAAAATTAAGTATGAATGAATCACGAAAATGGTGTGGGGGAGGGGACCTTAAACTTTAAAAGGACTCCACATTCAGATTCTTTTGCAGGTCTCATTAAGACCTCATCAAACTTGAATAAACCTAAAGGGAAGATCACAGATAATGCATTTTGGATGTGGTTTATACCAGAAGGATGACATGACATTCAAACAGCAGATTCAAATTTCAAGAGGCCTTGGTATATGTCAGATGAGTGGCAAATGAAGATACATGGATATGGTTGGAAATAAAATGCTTATAGTGTGTGTGCATGACTTTTTATGAGTCTCTATTTAATCAACTTTTTCAATTAGCCAACCACCTGTCTGGATTGATTGGATAAGAGAACCTCAATTGTCGTAAACCACGATACCATGACGAATTGACTGACTTGGGTTTACCTCAGGAATGCAGGACAATTATACATTATGTTAGCAGGACAATGGAAACAAAATGATCATCTTGATAAATGCCAAATGGCACTGGATAAAATTAAACTCCCATACCTAATTTTTAGTCTATGAATAAACTAATAATAAAGGACACAACATTGACAAAATCAAGAATATCTATCTGAAACTACCAATTATTATCGTAATTAATGGGAAAATGGTAAAGGCCTTCTTGGGAGAATCAGAGACTAAATAAGTTTGCTCAGTTGCATCTCAATTATCAAATGTTATTCTGGAAAAAAGAATAAGGTGTAACTATTAGAAAGAAAGTGACATATTTATTATTGTTTGAAGAAAACAAACTTACGTACCTGGAAAACCCAACAGAATGAGTTACCAACTGTCAGAACCAATAAAGGAGCTTTATAAGGAGTCTGCTTCAAAGTAAATATACAAAAATATTGTTTTCTTATATTCTAGCAATAACTAGTTAGACAAAGTCATAAGAAAAAAAGATATTCCATTTAAATAGCAGCAAAGGCTATAAAATGCCTAGGAATAAATTTAACAAGAAATGGGCTGGACCTATATAAAGTAAACTAAAAGTAACTCCTCTAAGGAACATAAAATAAGATAATAGTTAAAATTTAAAAATTAAATGTCCAATGATAGATAGTAGTTGAAACTTTATAAATGTCCATATAATGGAATAATATGTAGCCATATTTTTTAAAGAATATAAAGATATGGGAAAACATTCACAATGTACTTTTAAGTAAAAGAAGGTGCAGATTATAAAAAAGTACAATATGATTCCAATTTTGTAAAAAAAAAAAGTCTGCACATGTGCATAAAAGATATCTAAAACTGTAGGCACATCAAAATCTTAACAGTGCTTATCCCTAACTGGTAAGAATACAGGTGGTTTTAACTTTCTGCCTTATGCTTTTTTGTGTTTTCTGTATTTTCTACAATGGATAAATCAGAAAAATTTAAAATATAGATTTCTTCCTCCTAGAAGCTCCTCAAACAGCCAATACAGCAATGCCTCCCCTTGGCATCAGGAATGGAATTCAACTCTTGGCAGGTCCTATCTCTTATGCCTCCCCTTTAGCTCAGGGGCTCCCCTTGACCCTCAGCATAGGACTTCATGAGTACATGTTGAAGGCTAGATGCCAAAGCCATCTTCCTGGAGGGATCCACGACCCGTAAAGATGACACCCAGGAAATCAGCCCAGGCGGACAGTAGGAACCCTACTGGACCTGCAGGAGAGCACCGTGGACCCCGGCAGACCTCTCAGAATCTGCTGGGGACAGCCAGGTTTCCTCAGTCACACACTCCCTTCATGCCTCTGGGCAGGGCAAAGAAGGTCAGTCTGCCGTTGCCCACAGAATCTTCTCACGTCCTATGTCCCAGCCGTCAGGGTCTAATCTAGAAACTCCTGTTTCCACTGGCCCATGCAGCCCCAACCAATCCCCACAGTCCTCACGCAGGTAAACAGGATGAAGGTAAATCCCAGGATGCACCAAGAGATAGCTCAGGGATGTCTGTTTCTGGGAATCTTTCCTTAGCTTTCTCCCCATCCCTCCATCCCTGCACTGGGCAGGTAACTTGTCTTCTAGAGCTCAGGAAATACTTCCTTTCTTCCCTTCCCACTCCCCCATCCTCTGTTCCTTTCCTAACTCCCTACCCACCCCCCACCCCCCAGGGAGATCAAGGAGCCCACAAATAGGTAAATAATACATACATGAGGACTGGACGGAGAAGATGCCATGTTAGTGGGGGCCGAGCCCGACAGACCATCTGCAAGCTACAAATTAAACACGTTGGTTAGCAACAGGATTAGAGAAACCACTTCAGGGCAGATGCGACAGCCCTAAAGAAGCAGAGCTCTCCCACCAGGCACCCGCTGCTCTCCCTCCAGGGAGGCTGCAAAAGTTAGGAGGAACATGTACTTTAGGTTGGACAAGCCCAGCTCCAAACTCTGGCTCCATCACTTTACCAGCTGCGTGATCTTGGGCGAGCCCCCTGACCTCTCCGAGTCAGCATCCTCATCTGGAGAACGGGCACAAAGCCCACCTCACAGGGCAACAGTAAGTATGAATGGATGAAGGCCATGCACGCCTACTACAAGGCGAGGCACACGGCAGAGGCTCAGCCAACATCTCTCTCGTGCCCGCTTTCTCACTGCCCTTGGCACCATGGACTCAACACCTCTCTCACATGCCTTCCTGCACGTCACACCTCCCATCTCAGACAAACACCAAGTTCCCCAGCATCCCTGGGGGTTTCTGCTAACAGCTGAGCCGCACCAACACCTGCTTAGGCACAGTTCCTAAGCTAGTGCAGGTTTCTGAGTCTTCTCCCCTCAAGGACAAAAACAGGGCATCATACAGCTTCCCCAAAACCCTATATAAGAGGGGACTTAAGAGTCTTATAGTCCACATGCCACTGCTGTACATCAGAGAGCTTTCTGCATCCTTTTCCAGCATCGGATCTTTGCCTGCAACCTTCCGGTACTGTGAATCAAGACTCTATAGGGTGAATCCCTGGGCTGCAGGGTCCAGCAGGGCCTCAGGGGTTGGGACTGGGGGTCAGGTGACTTTTTCGGAGGCCACTACAATAGGTAGTGATGGGGCTCTGGGTGGATGAGTGCCAGTCTAGGTGGACAAGGCCAAGAGATGCGTCCTCGGCAGAGGGGACAGCAAGTGCAAAGGTGTGGAGGAACAAAGAAGCTCAGCATTCGAGAGAGCAGGCTCAGGGAGGCAGGCTCTGAGGCAGGAGTAAGAGGAGATAAGGCTGGAGGGGTGGCGACCAGCTGGGACCCAGAGCTCCCCGAGGTGCACCCTCTCTTCCTTTGAGCCCGAGCAGGGGGGCTCTGGAGACCCCACAGGAGGCCAAGCCCCAGCGGTCCTCCCCTCCTCAGCAGGAAGAGTCTGGAGACATGGTCACCTGTGGGTCAGGAAGGCTCAGGGAAACACAGGGAGGACAAAGCCTGTGAAGGGAGCATCACTGAGGGGGGCCCTGGCCTCCCCTAAATTAGCTCTGAGGGCTGGTCAGAGCACAAAGCACAGGCAGGAGCGCAGAATGGCCAATAGGCACCCAGCCAGGTGGTGGGCTGGTTCTGGGGGCCTGGCCACGTGTTGGTGGGTGTGGTGCGACCCCTGGAATAGACTGGATGAACTCCACGTGAAGGTCCCCACTGCCCAGAGACAGGCCCAGCCAGGCAGCAGCTCTGCCCCCAGTTCTCATCCTGAACCTCACAGAAGCCTTATTGTTATTTTTAATACAGTTCGTTTTTAGAAAGGTGAGAGGGAAACCGGCAGTTCCCCAGAGCGAGAGGGAGAAAAAAATAAAGCTAAACATAGTGCTCCAAAGATCTGGTCCAGCTTCCGAAATTACACGTTCCCCTTTGGGATTGGGGCATAATTTGCCACTCCGGTTCTGGGAGCACGTTCCCACCTTCACGGCGTCCCAGAGACTATAACCGGAGCAGCCGGCTCAAAATTAGCCCAAGCTGGAGCCGGGGAACAGCCAGCCCCAGCACCCACCCCCCACGGGTGGGGGGAACAGTTCTGCACGCCTTCTGATGCCTCCTCCAGGCTGGCCTGCACTTCCTGTATAACCCCACAGGCCCATCTCACACACACAAACGCACACACACTATCAACACACACACGCAATCCACACACACCGTCCCACTGCCAAGCCTTTGCCCCAGCTCCTTTGCCCACCAGGAAAGCCCTCTTCTCCTCTTCACCATCCTAACCCCACCCAGCCTTCAAGGTCTTTCTCTCACCCACCCCACTAAAGAAGCTTTCCTGATTCTGCAGCCCACGCTGACCTCACAGGGCCAAGAGGGTCCAAGATCTTGGTGCCCCAGCTAATAAAGCATCTTATCACTGTGATGTCACTCTGAGCACCTCATCTGAGATCTCTGCACACCTCTCATCTCCCTCCCAACCACAGTGGAAACTTCCCAAGGTTCTCCTTCTCTTTATGCCTCCTCAACACGCACATATTACCCACCCCCAGAAATTCTCCCTCTCTGCAGACTTAAGAGGAGACCTGCCTCCCCAGGGTGACCTCTTAGAATGACAAGCAAGAGTCACCCTTGACCAGGTGACTCCAAGGCATCTCAGTGCCTAGAAGGGGGTGGGCAGGGGGCACCACCTCTACTTTGAGCTTTGAGATCCCCTAGGAAATGGGAAGAGCATGCTCAGTGCGTGTTCCTGCACACTGCTTCGCTCCCATCTTCATAGTCAGAACACCAAGAACTAGCTTCACGAAAAAGTAGATTAGTAAGCGAAGACCCCAATATTTTTAAAGATAGAAATGGAGTCTGGTTCAGAGTCAGAGACAGATTCAGAGACAGAAAGAGAAGCCCATGGGGAAGGAGGGGATAGAGAAGGAGATGCTGGCAGTGGTTCATTTGGACTGTGTTCTGGGTTGGAAGCAATGTCTATTTGTTCAGTATATTTCTAAATTTTCCAAATTTCATATAATGAACATATATTTATATAATCAGAGAAAAATGAACACATTGCATTTTTAAACAGAGCACTAGATGGAATGAAATACCTCCATGCCCCTCTTTGAGGACATAGCCAGACCTGCCCTCAGAAACTCAAAAGTCAAAGCCATGATCCCTGGAGCATCACCACCTGGGCTAGAAATGCCCTCGGGAGTTTGCACACGCACCTGCTCCCAGCCTCCTCCACCTCTCACACACACTTACGTGCATATACACACACACACACACTCACCCTAACCCCACTCCCAAGATACGGGTCTAAAATCTACACAAAGGACAGCCACGCAGACCAAGAATAGACTGTGGAGTTGAGTTAATACGCACGAGCCTATGTCCTCCCAGCTCCCCCCACCACAGAGAAGAGATCAAGAGGCTAGGCACCCACCCACATGGGACCCTCCTCACCCCCAGAGACAGGTGCCAGCCTGTGAGCCCTGGGAGGCCGAGTGGGCGATCTGCCTTTACACACGTTTTGGATCATCTCTAGAACTGGCCACTCTTGACAGAAACCAAAACCTTTCTAGAAACCTGAAAAACGCTCCACCATGAGTGTCAACCCAAGGACCTGAGCATCAGGAAAGAGTCTGAGGTGACAGTTTCTCATGTATGGCAGGCCAATCCCAGGAACTGGGCAGATGCTGGTGAGAAGGTTAATCAGGAGAGAGAAGGTGCGACTGAGGAAAGAGATGGGAATGACCAAGACAGAAGCCGGAATTGGTAAGAGCATATTTGAAGGTAGGGAGCAGCCCTCATCTGGGTTCACAGGCAGGACCTGGGGAGCACGGCAGCAGGGGCCACATCACTATGAGAATGAAACAGGCTGCCGAGAAACACGAGTTGGACAAACAAGAACCAGATCAAATCCAAATTCTGTCAGACTCCTTGTTCCTCCAACCCCCAGAGGCCAGGGCCCTCCATTCTATCTGCACTGAGGGAGGGGAGAGGGGGTGAGAGCCCAGCCGGAACTATCTAGCAAACCATTTAGAACAGGAACCCACTGCCTCCTGGATCAGCCTCAGAATTCCTGGTCCTCCCAAGTGCCAGGGGATGTACAAGAGAGATGGAGTGAGTGAAAGATTCCCTGGACCAGCCAAATCGGATCAACAGATCTCAGCGAAAAACACAATACAAAAGCCATTTTCCCCAAAGCCCCCATCAGATCCCATCAGGTCAGGGCTTCCTAGAGACCAGGATTGGTCTCCCTCCTGGCCTTGGGGCTCCTAGAGAATAGGGTGTGTCTTCCCCATCAGGCAGGGAGCTCGATGAGGGCAGGGTCCAAGCCTCCTCCATCAGAGCAGGTGGGTCTCACTTCCTCCTTCTCCCTGCCCACCTCTGAGGCCCCATGAGCCCAGCCCCTCCCCATGTGGGTATGGCTCCAAGAGCCTAGATGCCAGCTCCCCACCCTCTGCCTGGCCAGCAGCGCTAGCCAGAGTGGCCACGTGCTCCCACAGAGAGCACAGACCCTGCTCTGGCTCAGACCCCAGCCCCAGTTTACTCATGTTGACTCCAGGAGGACGTCCAGCCTGGGCCTCCTCACCGTCTGCCTCTGGCTATGCTTGTAGCCAGCAGGACCCAAAACAGTCCCTTCCCATCTGAGTCTGTGGACATTTGAGGGCAGCAGACACAGAACAGAAACTCCGCTGAGCAAGCCCTGCGCTTCCCTGCACAGATTCAGATGGCGCGTTCGGGGGTGGAAAACAGGAGCCAGGATTAGGCGCCTGGAGTTTGGAGCTAATTGTCTGCCTAATTCAGCTACAAACACCCACCCAGGCCAGAAGGCACTAGCATTGCATGTAGCTGAATCCTGCATAGAACCATCTGAAATTTCCACTTGTGTTTACCCAGTCAAGAGAAGCTCGTCCGTAGACCCCCTACAGAGAGTAAGCAGGTTATCTATCCATCCATTCATCCATTCATCCATCCATCTGTCCATCCATCCATCTACTTATCCCCCCACCCACCCACCCATACACCCATCCAGGCAGTCTTCATTGAATGCTTTCTCTAAGCCAGGTCCTGTGCTGGGCATTGAGGATCCGAAAAAAGATGCTCCCAATCACTGCCCTGAGCTTACTCTAGGGAAGATGCTGACCTTTGCACACACAAGCAGGACCAGCAGCAAGTGCAGTGACCGAGATACAGGTAGGACTTGCAGGAGAAGGGGAGGGCCCAGGGAAGAATCCTGGGAGGAGGTGACCACACCTAAGTTGAGTCTCAAAGAATGACCAGGAGTAGGCCGGAAGGTGTCCCCAGCAGAAAGGATGGTGGAGCGGAACCCTGGAGAGCCACGGAGCAGGCAGAAATGGAGAGCTCAGGACTCTGAGGACTCTTAGCATCAGTGAAACCATACAGAGAGACCTCTTATCTCAGCAGCAGCAAGACCCCAGGGCTGAACCCCAGAGATGTTCCCTTAGAAGTGGCAGAAAGGTGAAAAAGATGAGTGAGTGAGAAAGAAGCAGAAATCAGCGCTGACTGTCAGAGGAAAGCCCCCGTAAACACATCTCTGGGGACAGCTTTGAGGATCCTGAGTCCAACCCAGCACCCAAGGTTGTTCTCTTGCTCTCATGGCCAATATCTGATTGATGGTTTCAAGAAAACACAACCTCCTGAAGTGCCACCTCCTCCCTGGGTGAATAAACAGGCCATGGGCCTGAGGACACAAGTAATATCTACATAGGGTGGGAGGCTCTGTCTTCGGGCAGCCCAGGAATTCTGGGAGCCTGAGTGCCAGGGATGTGACCAGCATCATGCAAAGCTGAGAACAGAATGCCAATCTGGAACAGAGGGTGACTACCCGGAACAGAGGACCAGTTCAAGGCTGGTGCTCACGGTGAGGACTTTCTCCATCTCCACTGCAGGAAGGACAGGGTGGTCTCAGGCCCACAGGACCCAGAGCCACCCCAGGGCCCAAGGTGGGGAGCACCCTCAGTAAAAGACACCACAGACCTCCTGCCATGCTGCTTGGTGCTGGCATCTGTGTCACCAACCACATAGCAAAGGGATGCCTCTTACCTGCCGCAGGAGTGGATACCCTCGAAATAAGGCCCCTTCCCCTTCCTTTTCCTGGAGGTGGAGGGAATGGAGCAAGAGGGACTACTGGCTTGAACACAGAGCCCTCCTTTTAAGCTGCCTCCAAGGTGCCACCAAGCACAAGCCCATAGGTGAACCCACTCCCAAGGAGGGTCCTGGCCTGCGTAAGGTAATGGGGCTAGAGCACCCCATAGACGGCCCGGTCACTCCCTCCTCTGTCTTCCCTCTCTCTCATTTGCTCCCCCTACCCTGATTTCCCAGGTGATCTCTGGGGGAAGCCCTCAACATGGTCCTCAAGGTCGAAGGGCCATTTTTCTCACATACTTTGGGAAAAATGATTGAGTTTTGCCCAGAAGACCACACACAGCCTCCCCCTAACCTCTCCACCCCTCTCCCAACCAGACTGAAAGATCTTGCGTGGGTCCCTCCGTCTGTACAGCATCCAGCCACCAGGGAGCAGAGGGAGACATCTCAAGGAGGCTGTGCGATACAGTAGGGAGGGGAGAAGGAGTGGGAAGAAATAAGGAAGGGAGGGGACGGGGACAATCGAGGCCAGCTCTTGGCAGGAGCAGGTGGCTCTCCCCGGAGACTCAGCACCCATCCTACCTGCATAGGGATGAGGGGCTCCTTGTCATCAATGTCAATGAGCACATCTTCCCCAGGACTGAGTAAGCTCACATCATCTGTAGGGGACAGGGGTGCGCAGGCCTGAGAGGAGGCTTCCCCAGGGGGCCCGCCCTTCCTCAGCCACAAGACCCAGTCAGGGAACCACGGTACAGAAGCCATCAGTCTCTCCACACTTCTCAATCTATGTCTTTCTCTTCCTCCCACCCAATTCTTCCCTCCCCTGTCTCTGTCTCTCCCATCTTCTTTCACCTTTCCTGTCTCCCCAGTTCTCTCCCTTCATCTCCTCGCATTTCTCTCCTCCCTTCTCATCTCACTGAATCCCTGCATGTCTCTCTCAACTCTTCCCCCCACCGCCTCCCACGTCAGCCCTCGCCTCTCAGCTCCACAGGCATCAGCCACCTGCTCCTAGTGTGCCCAGCCCAGGGCTAGGTGACGCCCTGAGGAAGGTGAGGTTCCCACCCCTCTGGTCTAGCTGAGCAGAAACTGTTCTCACTCAGGTCCCAGGAAGAGGAGGGCCTCAGGTAGCACCTGCACTGGTAAGTCCCATCTGTCCCAACCCTCAGCCCTGGCCCTCCCCATCAACGGCCCCTCCCCGTACCTGGGCCGCCCTGTGGGGACGGACTCTCCTCTGAGTAGGGGTCACACAGGAAGCTCTCCAGGGAGCAGATGGTACACTGGCCCACCACAGGCCGGCGGCCAAACTGGCAGTTATCGATGACCTTGACCACGATGGGGGGACAGTAGAGCTCCTCCCTGGGCAGCATCTGGGCAGAGGGGGACGGAAGCTCTGGGCAGCCACCTGAACCCATCTCTGGGAGGTCTCAGGGGAGGAAGGGGCTCCTTCTTCACAGGGCCGGCCCAAGAAGCAGAGAGTGACTACAAACCCACACATAGCCCCCAACAGCCATAAATCCAAAGTGGTGGTCGGCCAGTGGGGCAGACGCCACGCACCTTTTCTTTCTGCCTCCTGGACGTGGCATGCGGAGGCTGAGTTTTCCCCCGCAGCTTCACCTACCAAACACATCCAGCTCAGCCCGACGTTAAAACAAGTCCACTTTCCCTGAACCCTCGCTGGCAGGGGAGGGGAAGAGGGGAGAAGTTGGCCCAGGACTCAACATTTCTTGCAGACAGTCCCCCCCAAGTGGATACTCAAGAGTTGGCTTACAGACACAGATTCTTCTCCCTACCACCACCCCCCCAGCCCCAAAAGCACTTTGAACACAACTTGAAATAATTTATATGCTCTCCTTCGGTGGCGGCTCGTGCTCAGCCAAGAGGAGGCTCCTGTTGACAGCCACTGGGCCTGGAATTTCTATAGTGCTTTCATCTTGCAGACCATTTTCCTTTCCTCAGACTTGACTTACTCCGGCCACTAGGCCCAGGCAGCCCAGGGAGCTGGAAAGGGCTGGGGGCCTGAGGGCCGTGGCAGTGCGCCCCCTGCGGGGCCCAGGCTGAGGGACAACCAGGTCAGGAAAGGTTTAGAGGAGTCACTGAAGGTCAGAACCCCTGAGGGGGGCTCTGGGGACTGAGACCTGCCCTGGAAGGGAGAACAGACACGGATGGGTCTTGGGGATTTCTGTGGACTTGGGATCTGGGTAGGAAAGAGCAAGCTGGCCCCACTGGTGCTGCTCCCAGGCTTCCACTCTCCCAGTGAGGAGAGCGTGAGTCCTCCCCCCCCCCCCCCCCCGTTTTCGGAGACAAGTGAGGTGGGAGACATCCCATGACCTCGCCAGGATCCCACAGGGAATCAGAGCAGACCCCTAGGCTGCTTGGGGCCCTGAGAAAATTCCAGGCACATGGACTCTGGAAGGGGACAGGAGGGAGGTCAGGCTCACCACTTCCATGAAGAGGGTGCAGACGTCGAAGTTGGGGTTCTTCTGGAGGTTCCTGATGACACAGGACTGCACCGTCTGGCCCCCGCACTCCACCACGAGGCTGGGGGAGGAGACACTGGCCAGGTGGTAACTCTTCATGTTCCGCAGGCCCCATGCCAGGATCTGGGGACACAGAGTGAGGAGAGTGGCTGGAAAGCCCCAAGGCTCTGGGAAAAGCTGGGCCAGGAAGGGAAAGGGCAAGGCTGCCCCCAGCACCCCGCCCCAGGGCTGGGCTCACCTCGATGGCCGTCCGCTGGAGAGCAGGCTTGATGTTCTGGGGAACCATGTAGATGTTGGCCTCTCTCTGGGGTGGCGGGTAGGGCAGGTCTGTGTCCTCCGACTACAGGGGACGGCAGGGAGAACGAGGACAAACGTGGGAGGAAGACCAAGGCAGAGAGACAAGAAAGGAGGATAGACAGGACAGAAAGAAGGACATGGATGGAGAGACACGGGAACAGAGAGGCAACAACACAGAGGAGGACAAATGGGCAGGCAGAAAGGAGAGAGCCAAGTCAGTTTTTGCACCATCTTCTCCAGGATCACAATTCGAGCACCTTGGCCCAGGGTTCAGGTCACCCTGTTTCAAATGAACCCTAGGTCGCCCCTCCTCCCATAATGCAGGCTCTGAGCACCAACGAGCTGCTCAGGATCTCCCCATCCCTGACACACACCCATGCACACACGCGCACACACACACCCACTCCATCCCGGCACGTCCACTTCAGTCCGTCTCAGACCCAGAGAGGACCCTGCGCCCTCTCGCTGGCTTGGTTCTCCTGCCTCCTGGCTCAGCCTCTCTTGACCTGTCACTCACCCTGGCGTTCCATCTCCACCCCACACCACACCCAGACACCTGCCAGCCCCAAAGCCCCACCTCGTACACCTGTCCACCACGAGGACAGCACACCTGCACTGTGAGGCAGAAGGAGCATCTACAACAGAAGGGGATATAGACGCCCATCATCCACAGGCACCAAGGGACGCTGCTGGGGGGCTCCTTCAGCACCACAGACCAGAGACAAAAGTGTCAACTCTGCCTACGAAGGGTTTGCCAAAAGACGTGGGCAAGAATCCCCAGTGATCACGAAGAGATACAGGGGAAGCAGGTATGGCTGTGGACTAGACAACTAGCAAGGCCAACAGAGGTTAGGAACACAGACTGCTCCACCAGTTATTGTGTTAAATCCGTTATTTCACCTCTCTATATGGCTCGATATTTCATCTATAAAGTGGTTATTAAAAGTTATCAACCTCTAAAGGTTTGTGTGAAGCTTGAAGAAGTCAACGCAGCACTTAGAAGAATGCCTGGTTCATGTAAACTCTTAACAAGACTACCAGCCCACGTGGCACCTTAGTGACAATTAGAGAAATATATCCCTTTCTTAAGACTCCTTACTTCCATGTCAGAAAATTATCATATTTGACTAGTTTATTAGAACCAGACACTTTACTGCCACCTACTGGAAAAATGTTATAACAAATACAAATACATGATGTCTGCACTAGAAATGCACCCCCTTAGACACAGTGTCCTTGCGAAGTACACAACCTGCACGTCCATACAAGGAAGCCTTTACTCCCAGGAAATGTTAACTATAATTAAAAGGGCTGTGTTGGACACTTCACAGAGCTTGCCTCACGTAAGCTCATTTAATAAACAACGGAATCACCAGATTCATTCTCCAAGTGATCTGCTCTGGGTTCCTTTTCAAAGGACGGGCCGTCCATCTACAGATGCGCTTACATAGATGGTGGGAGCAGCTGGAGCATGGAAACACACCAGCTTCCTCCTGCCTCCATGAATCACCTCACAACCAACCCCAGCTGTCACTCCTGCCCCATGACACACTGATGACACTACACTTCGCTGACCTATAGTGGTAAGAAGCTCATCTCTAGACTCAGACAGACCTCAGCTCTAGTCCCAGCCCTGCCGCTTCCTAGCTGTTTGACCTTGAACAAATTACTCAGCCTCTGTGACTCAGTTCCCTCATACGGAGATCCAGGATAACACCCCCCTTACAAAGCTGCTCTGAGAACATAGTGAGAGAACAAATAGAAGGAGCGTCTGGCACACAGGAGGTGCTTAATAAACAGTAGTGACTATAACGATTACTGTGTTGTCAGTGGTGCCACTGTTTTTACCATCAGTGTTGTTGATCTCCTAGGGTGACTTCAGGAGAATTGAGCCATCAGAAGCATCTCTCAGAACAACACTGGCTTCATAATTATCCCTAAGTCACCAGGGCATGAAGAGAAGGAATTTGTCATTTTCCTCTAGACCCACGATCCAGGTGACATGATGTAGGAAGCACCTACACTTTCAGTCTGGCTGAGGGACCAATGCGTCAGGAGGAGGGGTGACGTGCAGGGCCACATGGGGCACAACTCCAACGGGTGCTGAGCACATCACAGTCCTCATGAACAGTCCCTGGAGGGTGGAGGTTGGGCCTGAACAGCCACTACAGTGCCTGGCTGCAATGGGGACACCTGGCTTGGGGTCCATCTTTGGCACTCCAAGGCCACCGGTTACAGTGGTTGTGCGCCAGGGGTTGCCTCTTTAAAGGAAGGGTCTGCTGAAGGCCCTCTCATGGCCTGTTTGTGGCCTGCTCGAAGCTGATGCCCAGCCCAATATAGGCCCAGGGCCAAAAGCCCAAGATGAAAAGGGGCAAAAAGAAGGGATCAGGGAGGAAACCAAGCCAAGCTCTGCGGGGTATGGAGGCAGAAAGTCCACGCCTTTCTCAGTTGGTTGCAGCATTCTCCCAAAATCACCCAGGAAAACTCATTAACATATTTCCCCCAGAACATTCCTCTCCAGACCCCCAAACTCTGGGCAGCATCCCCTTGATTTCTTTTTATCCCTCCTTCCCACGCTCCGTCTTTCCTTCCGGGCTTCCTTGAGCTCCGTGGTGAGGACGTTCCTCTCTATTTGCTGAAGGCCGGGCTCCCGATTTTCAGGAACCTGGTTACAGAGGAGGACAGGGAACAAGAACCCCAAGAAGGCTAGGCTCCAGTACCGTTTGGAGGAGGCCCTGGAGGAAGAAGGCAGGTGCACACAGCTGTGGAGCGCCAGGCCCAGTGGAGGCAGGAGGGAGAGACAAGCAGAGACAGTGGTTAGAGGGACATCCGCGTAGCAGCTTCCTCAGCACGAGGCCACCATTGTCATCCCAAGGCCATCTCCGTCCACCTTGCTGCCCCAGGACATCCTTGCTCCCTGCCATTTCTTTCCACTCCCCAAGATCCCCGCCTCTGCAGCCCCCCTCCACCCAGCTTGCAAGCTGCCCCCACAGCCCTCTGTCCCCCTCCCCATTGTGCACACCACACTGCCCGGACCTGCAGAGTTGACACTGTGCATCTACGCCTAATGCTGTCTGGCTCCCTAACCCGGTCTTATCCATCCTCCCCAATTTCTCACACTCTCTGCTGCATCTTTTCCTTCCCCATTTAAAGGCGCTCTTTCAGATCCATCCCTGCCCTGCTCTCTGTCTCCTCTCTCTCTTCCTGAGGACTGCCTCCATCCACTGCCTCTCCCTCACTTCCACGCGGCCCTCTGCCCCGTGCACTTAGCTCTGCCCCCTGCACCCCCTTCCCAGAAACTTCTCTGGCCAAAGTCAATCATGTGCTTGCAGCTCAACCCAAAGGCCACTCCCAATAATCAATGCATACTGTACTCTGCAGCCAGGGGGATCTTTCTAAGAATGTCACCCTCTTTAAAACACTTCAAAGGTTCCTGCCACTCAGGATGAAGTCCAAACTCCTTGACGTGGCCTCCAAGACCCCTCCTCTTCTAGTTCTTTCTCATTTCTCCAGTCTCATATCTCACTGGATAACCTTCCCTTCCAGGACCCAGACAGTGATGAGCAACCCCCGCCGACATGCTCAACACCCGCCCTCTGAACACTGGCAGGTGGTAGCAAGCACCATGCTCTCTTTACCTTTGAGTCTTGGAGCTTGCTGGGCCCTCTGTTGGAAAGGCTCTTCCACCCACTTTATCCAGCTACCTCCTACTTAGACTTCAGATCTCCATTTGAATCTCCCCTGCTGCCCTGAACTTAAGTTAAGCACCCCATGGCTCCCACAGCAACTTGACTCACTCCCATTGAAAGACATCACCCTGTGCCATTTCTACAAGTCCATCTGTCTGCGTCCCTGGTTAAACCAGCAATTCTGCACACAAGGACCACAGTGGAATGCCCTGTCCAATAAATAAAAGTTTATAAAGGATAACTGAAGGGAGGGAGGGAGGGGTGGCAGAGGGATGAATAGGTAGGTGGATGGGTGGGTAAAGAAACAACTCCAACATACTCTCCTTTCCTTCCCAACACTCCCGTCTGCTCCAACCTGGCGCAGCACGTCAGCATTGCCAGGCAGGGGGGTGGATGTAGACTTAAAGGGCCACCAGGACATCCTGACTCCCCGTCCTATGTGTGACAGAGACTCTGATGATCACAGACCTCAAGGGCAGCCATACAATATAAGCCTAATTAGATGAAGCCACACTTCACCACCCACTTCCTTGCTCACCCTCCCCCCTACCCTGAATGCAGGGCAGACCTGGGCTGCTACACGGATGGGGTCCTACAGGTGTGCAGGGTGTTTACCAAGCCAGCGCCGACCAAAAGGACGAGGACCCAAGGACAAACGAGGCTCTGTCCCCGTCAGAGCAGAATCCACCCTTTGCCCCCTTTAGTCTACCTTTAGTGGCCAGTTCAGCACAGGGAGCCAAGGCCCTGAGCCCTGAGCGGGGCTTCCTCCCCCAGTCCTAGGGCCACCACACTAGACATTCATTCCCAGGGTAGGGGGGAGTGTTGGCAAGCCCCCCCCCCCCCAGCCACCTAGGCCAGTCCTGTCACCAGTAACCCAGAGACCCCTTCTTCACCCAGCAGGGTACAGTCAGGGGACCCTCTGGACATTCAGATCTTGGCTCCGCGGGGAGCTCCAGGCGGGAGCAGCCAGGCGGGCTGGGAGGGCTCCATTGTCTGCCTGCCCCACCCAGCTCATTAGGAACAACATGTTGCTCTAATTACACTTCCCAGGAAAAACAGTGTTTTAAATTAAGGCCTTGAGGGAGGGATAGGGGGATGGGGGACCACTGGGTTTATTTTCCTGATTGCAAAACACCAAATTTTTCCTTCTAGTGGATTTGGGGGTACAGGAGAGGACCTTGTATATATCTCAGACTAAAAGCCATAGCCTGTCACCTGGATTTGGAAACGCAGATGGAGTGACATCTGGTTGGCCCCCTGAGCCCATAGTGAAAACAGCCATGAAGCATGCAGTCCCTCCTATCAGGGCACTGCCAGCTACGGAGCAGGACAGAAGAATCAGAGCCAAGGGTAAGACTGGGAACCATGGCCCCTTAAAACGGTCAGGCCTGCAGGCCCCTGCTCCCTTCCAAAGGGCTCCCAGGTGGGGTCTTCCCCTGCACATGCTCCACATCCTAGGGATCCGCCATCACCTCTTCTGCTGGGTGTGCATGTGTGCACACGCCCTCACGGGTGTGCACACTTGCACACACTCACACATGCATGTGCACACTCTCCAGTTCTCAGGAAATCTAAAATTGCAGTTTCTTTGAACTCATTCCCCTTGGCAGTGCAGACCGCCTTTGTTCTCCAGACAAAAAGGAAAAGAAACGAGACAGAGGGCTCAGAAGAGGCGGGGAGAAGGAGGGAGAGAGGGAGCCAGGGCCAAGGAGCAAGGAGGAAGAGAGAAACATGAAGGAAGAGCTGGGAGAGGACAAGGCGAGCAAGGGAACAGCATGCTACCCAAACAGAGAGACAGGCTGGGGAGCAGGCAGGGAGGGGCCCGTCCACCAGTCCACCCGTGCTCTCTGTGAGGACCCAGGTCTCCCAGATGTCACCAAAGCCTCAAAGACACAACGCAACAGTCTAGAGTCCCCACTAAGAGCCCCCACAGAGCGGTGCTCCAGATGGGCATAAAGCCTGGCGGAGAGGAAATCTTGCTGCCCACAAACTGGCTCCAGGCAGCGATGCACCCCCCAGCCCAAGGCACCGCCGCCCGGCACCCCTCCCCCACCCCTCTGCCAATCCCTGCGACAGAAGCGAGCTCAGTGTCACCTCTCCAAGAACAGCACAGGCAGATGGCATTTCATCCCATTCACATACACTTCGTCTCCCACACAGGCGTGGGCTGTGCTAGTCCAGGGCACCCCGTACCTGGAGAGGCCGTCCTTAAACCATCCTTCAGTCACTTGCCCCCTTCCATCCTTCCTGGCCCCTTTCAGTCCAGACCCTCATTACCATGACTGTCTCAAAAGCCTGCTAGCTGGTATCTCCTCCTGCCCCTTGCTCCCCAACCCACACCCCTCTGCAGCCAGACAGCTTCCTAACACACCCATCTGCCCTCTCTGCTCCCAGACTTTCGAGGGCTTCCGTGGGCAGTGGCCCAGAATCTAAGCTCCCGCTGCGGCTTTGCACAGCCCTCCAGGCTAGAGCACTCTGCACAGGGATCAGGCTGGGAGCCTGGAGGGGGCCGAACGGGGGGAGGAAGGGCAGAAGCTTGGCCACAGCAACGAAGACAGAAAAATCCCACTAAGGCGTCGGACTTCCTGCAGGACCAGCAGCAGCAGCAGGAGTGACCTGCCTCTACCCCGTCCCCCGAGGGTTCTTAAAGTTAAACAGCACCCAGGGTCTTGGTGTGAGCCTTAGCCTTCAAGTGTGGGAGAAACAGCTGAGCTATGGGCCCCAGGCTGGGGTGGGGGGCCCCAGGGGTGCAGGGGCGTCACAAGATCTTTTTCTCGGGTGGTTCCCTGAACGAGTTGATACTCTATTCCTTCTCCTGAGCCTCGGACCCTTCGAACCTGCTGGTCCAGCCCAGCCCTACGCACAGCCAAGTCCCGGGATCTGCTCTCCTCTGGTCCTGCTGACCCACACCGGCCTCAGCCTGGGGCCAGGCTGGCCCTACAGCAGGACACTTGGCCCTCTTCGGAGTCTGGCCCAAAAGTTGCAGATTTTGATTTGCTTCCTCACAACGAGACCACAGCCACATCCCCACTCTCAGAATCTGGGCCTTCACTGTTATATATTACAAATCCAGTTATTAAGGATTTTAACTTTTATTTAATAACTCATCCCTGGGCCGGGCCTTCTTCAGCACAGGCTGTGGGTTTTGGCCACAGAGTGCTCTCCATCAAGAGAGAGGGCTCCGTGCTGCTTCCCTGGACGCGACTCTGCTCCCCTTTCCAAATCGGCAGTCTTTCGCAACTGCAGCCAGAAGCAGGAGGCTGCCCGTCAGGCGCAATTACAGCCAGCTCACTTGGCGGACCCCACCTCGGTCTGGGAGCGAAAGGAAGTGAGGTAAGGGGCGCGGGGCCTGCAGATCCCACATCCTGACTCTGCACTTCAAGTCCAAATTGCACCGAAAATGTCAAACAGTGTCCACTCCCAGCCTGGGGATTCCCTGATGGCAGGAAGTGGCTGCCCTTGTCCCAACCCCCCATCAGACCAGGGCTCTCCTTCCTGTCATTCCGCCCCGTCCTCTGCCCCTGCTCACTCATGAGGATCTGCTCACAGATGCGCAGGAGGCCATAAGGGAACGTGCTACTCATCCCCCATGGCAAAGAACATACTCTTGCTACATCTGGACGCAAATCCCAAACTTCTTCTAGAGCCTAGGAATCCCCAACCCACCCCAGCCCCTCAACCAGCCAGGCCCTAAGCTGGTGCTTGGCCCCTTGGGTCAAAGGCACATTCCCTACCTTCCTCCTGCAACAATGTCTGGTTAATGCTACCTCCACCAGAAAGGCTTCCTTGACTGTTCTGGCCCCTTATGACCATTTTATTCTTGAAAACATGCCAGATGAGATTCTGTATTGCTATTGTTGAGATCTGGGTGAATCTGGCCTCCAATAGGGCAGCAAGCCTTCTAGGGCCAGAATCACACCAAGACACGTCCCAGGCAGCCCTGGATCCATGCAGAGTGTAGGGAATGAACTCCAGACAGGTTCCCACATGACGGATGCCCACTGGAGCACCAGGAACCCAGAAGGCTCGGGGCACGTGCCAAGAGGCTGGTCCTACCATCCCTCTATCGCTGCTCACCGACCCCCAGCCATGGGCCACAGCCGTGAGGGTCCAGCTCACCTCTTCCAGGATCCCTGATGTATCCTGCACCTGGACCACACCATGGGACGTTGCACATCCAGGAGATAGTGGAGGAGGAGAGGAGGGAGGGTAAAGTTCACCATTAGTGATGAGGAGCACTAGGCTGGGGCAGAGATCAGCACCCCAGACACCACCCTGAGAGGAGCCAACAGAAACCACTCCCATCCAGGGAGGGGCGACGTGCTTCCAGGCACGGCCTCCACACTGTCCCTGAGAAAGAAGGTGCGATGGACATTGATGCAGAGGGACTGGTGGGAGAGGCCAAAGCATAAACCTAGAGCCCAGGCCCCTCTGGAAGTGACTGGAGAAAGGCAAATGGCAGACAGGTGGCGGGAAGGGCCCAGCCCTGTGCAGCAGCTCCAGGAAGCAGACAGACCTAAGGTCCCGGAGCTGCAGCAACTCCCGGAGTACGTGAACTTGGAGAGCCAGGGAGAAAGAATCTGGATCCCCAGGGGCTGGCAGACCTGAGAGCGGGAGCTTGGGCTGGACAGGAGAGGGAGCAGGAGAGAGAGGGGGCTGAGGGATGCCGGGGGTGGAGCAGAGACAGGGGTGAAGGAAGGCCTGCATGGTAAAAACTGTCTGCAGATTGCGTGGACTGCCTTGTAAGGGGGAAGGCATCCAACGACAGACCGGATGACCGCTCCTCCAAGATGCAGCTGAACCTGACTGAGAACAGTATCTCCTGAATCAAATTAGCCTGGGTACCAGGAAAGGGTCTGCATTTTCTACCATGCCCCCAGGAGAAGGAAGGAGAGCAGGGAGAAGGGAACAGAGCCCCCATCACTAGTAGAGGAGGAAAAACCGGTCATGGGGGGAACAATGAGTTGGGGAAGATGGTCTAAGCCAGAGCTTCTGAAACTCGAGTGGGCATCAGAATCCCCTGGAGGCTTGTTAATTTGCAGGTTGCTGCACTGCCCCTCAGAGTTTGCTTCAGTAGGTGTGAAGCAGGAGCCAAGAATCGGCATTTCTAACAACATCCCAGGTGATATCACACTGAGAACCACTGGGCTAAGTCGATGGTGCTCAGCCCTAGCAGCACATTAAAATCCCCTGGGAAGCTCTGAAAGATACCAATGCCTGGGCCACATCCCCAGAGACTGTGTTCCATCTGGTCTGGGGTGGGGCCTGAGCACTGGTGATTTTTCAAGCTGCCGAAGGGATTCTAACATGCAGCCCAGCTGAGAGCCCGTGGGCTGGATGACCATGAGGTCCCTACAGTCTGAGTCTCAGGGAAGAAGGGCGGGAAAGGCCTGAGCTGGCCAGGGACCCCGGCCCTCACCCACCCCATCCCTGAAGGCGGGCCGGTGGTGGTATACACCTGACTGCCCTTCCTAGCTCATAGGGGGCTGCAAACACACAGAGGCGGGCCATGAGTTTGAAGAAGAAGAGGGAAGAGCAAGACTTACCTCAAAACCAGGAATGTGGTAGATGGCCGGCTGCGGGGTAGAAAAAAGAGCTTTGGTCAGTGCCTGTCACCCAAGGCCCCATCACCCTCCTTTCTGTCCGGGCCAGGCAAACACACCTTCAGCCACAAAATGACACTCATGGAATATGTCAGTGATCACAGTTGGGAGTTTGCAACCTAGGGACTCCTTGGAGGTGCCCGGGAGTTGGCAGCCAGGTGCCAGGGGAAGCCAGGTTGCAGCATACTGTGTGCCCCCTCCAGACACTTGACCCAGAGTAGCCTGACTTCCATCCAGCTTACACCTGGGGTTCACATCACTCTAAGAGCAAAGCTGAAGATATGGTTCTAACCCAAACCCCCTATTTCACAGCAGGGAAGTGCCTGGCCCAGGGTCGCACAGCCAGGCCATGGCAGAGCCAACACTACACCGGAGGTCCTGACCTTACCTGTCCCTGGGTGCCACCATCACAATTAAGTCTCCCCGACCAGATCACGGAGGTCCTCCTCTCAGAAACCACGTCAGGATATGACCCAGGGAAAAATACATCCAATGGCCAGAGGACTCAGACATTCCAGCACAGCCCAGATTCCAACATTCTACCCCAATGTTTAGACAGTAGCCTAACTTGGGGTTCAGAAAAGAGGGGCAAAACCAGTCTCAGCAGGAAGCCTGAATTCCAGAGGTGGCGGTTCAGTGCTCCCCACTGAGCAGGCCTGGTGGGGGGAGAAGGATGTATCGGCAGCCCCTCCCCTCCTTCGGGGCATCCCTGCCTGTGCCCCCTACCCTCTCCTACCATGTACTCCCTGTCTGGGCTTCCTGGATCAGGATGGGGACCAGCCTCACCTTCTCTCTCTGGATGAGCTCAAAAGAGGCCAGCAGCTCGCCCGCCGGCTGGCTGCCCCTAGTCAGTGGGAACCAGGTCAGCCGGGGCATCCGTTCCAGAGTCGGCTGACAGATGCAGCGTCCCATAAACTCATCTGCACCCTAGACCCGACGTGGAGAAAAAAGAGTCAGCATCCCCCAGCCCAGGGCTCTGGTGGCCCATGGTGATCACCAGGCCTGCATCCAGCCTCCTGAGCTCAAAAGGGCCTCAGAAGTCAGGGCAGCCCCTAAGGGTGAGCTCTGCCCCCCTTAGAAGGACACAAGGACAACATACAAGTGGCCTCTGGCCACTGTCGCTAGATTTGAATTCCCATCAAGTTTGAGAAGTCCCTCTATACGTCCAACTAGTGTTTGTCTTGCTCTAATTTAATCAACTCTGAGCCCATTAGAGACGAGAGTGACAGCCTCCTAGCATTTCTCTAATGCCCTCAGTAGTACAGGTGTTTGACATTTCCAAGGACTTTTGTATCCTGTTCATTTCACCTTTAAATTCCCCGACTTTCCAGGTGGGGAAACTGATCGTGCTTACCAAATTATATGAGTCTTGCTAAAATGATGTTTTCATCTTATCAGTCCTTTGCTCAGGCACCTTCCACGGCTCCCCACTACCTAGAGGCTAGAGTCCAAACTGTTGCCCTGGCATGGAAGGGCCCCTCACTGCAGCCTGCTCACCTCTCCTGCCCTGCCCCGTTCTCTCCTTCTGCTCCAGCCTGCTGGCCTTGGCTGGCCTCTCTCCCCCTAGCTTTTCCACCGGCCATTTCCACCAGCCCTACTGCCCTCTACCCTTCTCAGCCATCACTCAAAGCCCTGCCTAAGCTCGGCCTTCTGACGTGGGCCTCTGTGACATTGCTGGCCTGTGGACTCCGGCCTTGTGGCTAGCTTCCCTGAGGGCAGGGGCAGTGGGCAGAGCCTGGGTCTCAGCCAGACGGTGCTGCAGCCCTCACAAGCCCTGGTGCCTGGTCCAAGGCCCTCATCTGGAGAGACCCAGAGCAGGACTGGGAGGCATCCCCACTTGCAGTCATGTTACTGCTGAGGACATCCCCAAGAGCCATTCTAGAGTGGCCACCAGCTGCTGCATACATGCCACGTGAGCAGGTGACAGTCTGGCACTGACCACTCAGAGTGGACACCAGCCATGGTGCTGGAAGGGGTCCAGGAGGCTCCTCTGGGCCGGGCGTTGTCCCTTTAGTTGCTGGGTCATGGAGAGCTTGGGGGAGGGGAGTCCTTGCAGAGCCAGGGCAGCCAGGCAGCAGCAGCTCAGGGCAGTGGGAGTTTGCCAACAGGTGTAGACTCCTTCGACTGTATTAACTATGAGCATAGCCTCTGCTCTCCCCCAGGACCATGGAGCCCACCCACCCAGAAGAGGCCAGGGCTCTTCTCCCCGTGGGAGCCCTCCTGGGCACTGCCTACAGGAGAGACAGGGTCAGAGCAACATTTTAAAGAGGAGGAAGGACGCTACCGGAGGAGAGTGTCTGTGTCCTGCGGCCTGTGTCCAGCCAGCCCCGCACAGCGCTTGTACCTGCTGTTGCTTCTGCTTGGTCCCCTGGCCCTCCCGCCTCCTTCTTCCTCCTGCCCCAAAGGCACCAGGCCCTGTGCTCTTCCCCAAACAGTCCCAAAGAGACCCTTCCTCCAGTTGCTCATGCCTCCCACAAAGCCAGCTTTTCCTTCTGAGGGAAGAGCTCACAGTCCACACCCCCAGCCCAGGTCTGCGCTGCCCACTGCCTGCTGGCCACCACCACCTGGTGGGGTGCCCTAAACAGCATCACCTTCCCCCACCCGCTGGTCTCCACACCCTCCCAGGGCACCTGACATCCAGTCACGGCAACTCTTTCTGAAAACATCTTCCAAACTCTGCCCCCTCCCCTTTCATCCACTGCTGTCCCCAACCCAGGCTGGGTCTCCTTGCCACATACCCCTCGGCCCACACGGTCTCTCTCTTCCAGTAGCATCACACCTCTTCTTTGTAGAAGGTTGCTCTGACCCTGTCACTCCCCTGCTCCCCTGGCCTCCTACTCCTTTCTCCTCCTTCCCAGCCTGCCCTCCCCTCTCCTCAGTCTCCCACTCGCCCCCATGCTGTGCTGGAAGCCCCTCTGCCTAAGCGCCCCGCCCCCACCCACCTCAGTCTCACATTCCCCCCAGGGACCCATCTCCCCCACAATCTTCCCTCAGTTTCCAGCCCACGGTGATCCCTCTCCCTCCTCGGAACCTTCTAGAGCTGTGCTGCCCAATACCAGAGCCACTGGCCACCTGCAACTATTTAAATTTAAACTTTACTTAATTGAAACTGAAAAAAAATTTTAAACTTAGCGTCTCAGTTGTACCAGTCACATTTCAACTGCTCAACAGCCGCGTGTGGTTAGTGGCCCTCATTTTGGACGGCACAACCACAGAGCACTTCCGTCAGACAGGAAGTTCTGTTGGACAGCTCTGCTCAGAGGGCCCTGCTGGTGTCTCCGAACCACATGGCACTTTGGGACACGCTGTCTCACTGGAAGATTCTCCACCCTGTGGGTGAGCCTCGGCTCCCGCCTAGACTGGGAACCCCAAGTGATGGGCCGCTCAGCCCAGTGGCCAGTGTTGGGAAATGTTTGTGGAGTCAAGGAAGCTCTCTGATGGGGAGAAGGGACTGGCCTGGGGTCATCAAAGCAAGTTAAAGGCAGAGAAAACCCAGGCTCCTGATCCAGAGCCACGAGCCCTTTCCTGATCTGTCCCCACTCTCTGCCGGGGCACAGCACATGTGCTAGCAATCCATTTTTAATTACTCTAAAATAGTTTTAAACACTCTTAGCCCGTGGGGTCAGGGGAGAGGCCATCAGTCCCAGCCTTAGGGAGCACCCTTCTGGTTAGGAACCCATGCTCCCCAGCAGCATCTCCCCTTGGGCCCTGGAAGGGGTGGGCAGTGAGGGGACGAGGGAGGAAGGGAGGCAGACTCACGTAGGTGTCATGGTCGTATAGCTCCACCACGATGCTGGGCGGCTGCTCGGCGATGCTGGGCGGCTCACCAAAGATCTCGATCTCATAGAAGATGAGTGTCTGGTCCCAGGTGGGGTTCAGGGTGTTCTTCACCACCACTGTCTTCTGGCTCTGGTGCAGGAAGGAGACGATTGCGTAGGGATCTGTGTGGGTGCAGGAAAGGGAGACAGGACACAGCAGAGACTGTGAGAGTCGCCTGCTCAGGGGTCACGCAGGCACAAAGCTGGAGCAGAACTGTGGCTTCCAGTCTGGAGCAACATCATCAGGCTGGAGCCCATTTCCCTGGGGTCTCTCCCTGCCTCCAAGAGCCAGTCTGCTGGGACACCACAGGGAAATGGAGGCTGGATCTGGGCGAGTGGGCACAGAGATCCTGAGAACTCCCCCTTCTGGGTTCCTTCTTGGGCTGGCCGCTGGGGGCAAGGTCCAGCAGGAGGAAGTAAGTGCCGGGATGGCTCATTCATTAGTTCACTCATTCATCCAACAAGCATTTATTGAGCGCCTTCTGCATGCCAGGCTAAAGGCTAGGTGCTAGAGACTGAGGATCCAATTGGAGCAAAACCATCCATCCAAGCAAATATAAAAATTACAACTTCGACTAGTGCTTTGAAAAATAGATATAAGTTGCAATGGAGTGTATGAGGGGAGGATATGGTTTCCTTGAGGAAGGGACAGTAGAGCAGAGATGTTGGTGCCATCAGAGCAGCATGCCTAGGTCTGCATTTCAGCAAGTTCACTCCGGCTGCCATCCTGTGCAGGGAGACCGGTCATGAGGCGACTGCAACAGTCCAGGCAGAGATGGTGGTGGCTTAGAAGGTCAGGGCAGGAGAGAGAAGCACATGGATTCAACAGCTGTTTTGCAGTGGGTGGTGTGAGAGGAGGCTTAAGGCCCCCACAGCTCCCTGCTGCCCCCCAAACTCCTTTCCAGCCTGCCAGCCCCAGCCCTGCTGGCCTGAGACCCACCACAAGTCATTCCTTCTGCCTAGTCCAAAAGGGAAGTTGGCGTCACTAGAGAAGATTCTAGGGCAGTGGTTCTCAAATGTGAGCATGCAGCAGAACCACCTGGAAGGCTTACACAGACTGCTGGGCCCCTCTCAGAGCCTCATTCATCAGATCTGGGGTGTGGCCTGAGAATTTGCATTTCTAACAAGTTCCCAGCTGATGCTAACGCTGCCTTCCAGGGCCGCACTTGGGAAACCAATGCAAGAGAAGGTCCTATGGGACTGAGTGCATGTAATTTAGGAGAGGAGCAGAGGGTCTGGAGAGGGGCTCCTCCAACTTCTCCCATTAGGACATCAGCCTGGGGGCAGGGGCCAGTTTGCTGCCATTTTGTAAGACTCAAAGTGTGAGATGCTGAAGGCACATGGGCAGGAAAGCCTAGGGATAAGGGAAGCTGGCAGCTGGATGCTAGATGTCTGGGAGGGCTGAGCCCAAACGCCCCAACACATACCCTATACCCTTGGCACCTGCTCCATCCTGCTGTGCCTTGCGTCCTCTGAGCCCAACAGTCCAGACCCAGCACTGCCCCTAACCTCCCGTGTGACCTCAAGAGGGCCTCAGTGGCTTCAGAGACAATGGCCTCTGTCCTCTAGCCTCAAAAGGGGGCTGAGATGTCCAGCTGCAAACCTGGGGCTGGGATGGGATGGGGAGACAGCACTTCCCCATAAAGGGGAGGGGAGCAGGACAGCCCCCTGGCCTTAAGGAGACCAAGTGGCACACCATGGCCACTGCACAGGAGGTGGCAGAGAGTGACCATAGAAGAGGTAGGAAGGCTAAGGTAGGCAATGGGAAGATGCCCATCAAGGGATGGGAAGAGCAAGGTCCAAGATTGTGGCTGTTGCCCAAGGAGCTGGTTTTCAGGGTGAGAGGAGTCTAAGTGAGGAGGCAGAAGCTATGGGTACTCGCTAGCTGGACAATGCTGGGCTTGGTTAAAAGGACGCAGCCACCAGCTTGGGACCAGCTCATTAGCCTTCAGGCACAAAATCACAGTGGGGTCAAGCCTGGAAGACTTCCTGTAGGAAATCGGTCCTGAACCTGATTCTGGGGAGTAGAAGAGGGCAACAGGAGGCCCTTGGCAGGGGAAGGGGCAGGGCAGACATGTCCACCATGACTCACCACTCCCACCAGGTGGGAGCCTCTCTGGCATGGGGCTCCCCCTTCTGTGCTGTGCGCCGGCCCTGGCAGGGCTGGCCTCCAGCCCTTCCCCTCCTGCCCCTGGCAGGGCCCAGCGGCGTCTGTGCATTTAATGAAACCGTCTGGCTGTGATACCATCAGCTCCAAGCTCGGCAGAGAACCTCTCCCTGGTTCCAGTAAGGGAAAGAGGGCGCGTTCCGATAAATAAAACCATATTAGAGAACCGGCGAAAAAGCCCCTTTTGTTCCCGCCCCCCGAGCTTCCCAACGCTTTATTTTTATAAGCGTGAGGGCCCCAGACCGACCGCGTTTACACAAAGATCACAATTGCACATTGTGGCGGCTGTGCGCGCTGTATTGGTGTTGGCAGCACCCCCCACGCTGGCCCCCGAGCAGGCCGACTCCTTCCAGCAGCCCCGTCAGCGCAGGCAATGAGCTCAGCGCTGGGGGGGACGGGGAGGGGTGGCTTTCAAACAAGAATCACCCAGACCCACACACGCGCCCCGCCCGCCCATGGGAGGAAAACACACACAACAAAGGCATTGTAAAGAGCAGGCCTGGAGGCCCAGGGCCTCAGACACTGGGCTACTGTGTGCTGGGGCCTGGCCTCTCCCCCCACAGGGCCCAGCCCCTCCAAAGAAAAGAAACAAGGGGGGTGGGGGTGCTGCTGAAGCAAGGTGGTCAGATGAAGGAAAGCCAGACAGACGCACAGACACATCCCTCTTCCAGGAAAGCCAAGAGGAGGGCAAGACAGATGCCAAGGAGAGGTGGAGAAGAAGGCAAGGGGCTGGCTCTTCCGGGTCCATCCCAGCCCAGAGCTCTCCCCAGGGCCACTCCCCTCAGAGAGGGGCAGCATCGGCCCTCAGGCCTCACCCGCCAAGCCATACGAAGCACCCCGGAGCTGGACTGGAGCTCTCTGAGGACCACAAGCTGCCCTGGGGAGCTCCAGCCATAAACACGCAAGGATTCTCCTGGACTCCATCACCGTGAGAGAGCAAGGGACCAGTCACCAGGCCCCAGGCAAGTGGTTCTTTTGCAGGACCTGGATCCCCTCGCCCAGCAGCACTCCTGCCCAGACTTCCAGGAAGGACACTGCTGCCTTCACAGTACCCTAAGCCTTCCTCATGGGCCCTCCCAGCAACCAGCTCAGACCACCGGAGTGGAGGACAGGGCAAGTGGTGTCATCCCACTTGGCAGAAGAGGGAGCTTTGGCCCAGGAATGCTAAGTCACTAGCCCGTGCTCACACGTGGCCAGGACTAGATCCCCTGACTCCGAGTCCAGTGCTCCTTCTCCCTGCCACGCTCATAGGAAAAATGCCCTTAAGAGAGGGTGCAGTTGGTCGCTAGGAATCAAGGCGGTGCAAAGAAAACAAGAATACAGCAATATTTTCCCTATAAAATTAAGAAAAATTGTTTAGAATTATAAAATGAGCGTTGGCAAATATTTGATGAAACAGGTACTCTCCTTTATTGCTGGAAGCAATTCAGCAACCCTTCAGGAAAGCAATTGGGCAACATGCCCTGGAAAACATAAAACTGTTTCTACCCTGTTTCCCATATTCCTGGGAATCATCCAAATTAACCAAAAAGCTCTATGTACAAAGATGTTCACGCCAGCCTTATTTGTAATCCATCACTCATCCAATACACAATTATTTACTGACCAGCATGTGGCAGGGAAGCTCGGTGCTGGGAACACGAAAATGAATGAGACGTGATCCAGGCTCTTAGGATCACGACCAGGTTGGAAGTGGTAACTAAGCAACAGTTATAATGCAAGGTGATGTACAACTTAATAGAGACATATACAAGGTGCACGGGGTGGGGGCCCCCCTGTAGCCCGGTGGCATCAAGTGGGTCTTCCCAAAGGAGGTTTGCTACCCTGAGTCTCAAGAACAAGGAAGTAACCAAGGCAGACCAAGGAAAGGGGGCATCGCAGGCAGCCAGCACAGCACAGACAAAGGCACCAAAGAGCACGGGCACCTGGAGACAGCAAGTAGTCGGTGTGGCTGAGGGAGACGGGGGCACCCAGGGCAGTGGGGACAGAGGAGCGGGGAGGAGGCCGCAGATCACAAGCAGTCCTGGATTCCTGCTGAGCAATTTGGACTGAATCCTGTAGATCAGTGTTTTCCCAAAACGTGTTCTTCAAAAGTGGAGTCCTCTGGGGAGCTAAGGAGCGCTTAACCAGGTCCAAGAGGCTGGTTCCCCACAGCCAGCGCAGAGCCTCTCAGCGCCACTGTGCCTTGTAAATCTGAGTGCGGAGGGCTTCCCCGTCTCTCTTGCTCAGGAACCCTTTTTAAGTGGAGCATTTCACAAGCCTCCGATGCACTTTGGAAAACAGCTCCTTAAGCTCATCAGGAGAATTCCTCCCCAGCCAGAGCCAACCTTAACAGAAAGCTGTGCTTCAAAAGCAGGGGTGGGCCGTGCAGGGAGCCCAGACATGGGAGGCCCAAAAGCACAGACTCTTCGGCCCTATCCAGGACGGCGTCTGGATCTGGGGGAAAAACGAAAGCACGGGTCCCCAGAGACATGACCTCCGTGGTGGGGCAGCCACAGACCTCACTGTGGCCTGGCCTGGCCGCAATCCCCCTCAGGACCACCCAACGGGCACACAGCTTTGACCTCCCAGGAACCACAAGGCCAGCAAAAGGGCACAGGAGCTTCTGCTCTCTTGACCGATGCCCGGCCCCTGTAAATTAATAAATCGGCCTCTGATCTCCTCACCATCTCTCATTTGCTTGCTCAGCCAGGCCAGGCACCCCTGAGCCCACTGACCTGTGAGGCTCTCAAAGAGGACTTTCGGGGTCCCGCATGCCAAGGGTCATCGTCTGGAACGTGGTGACCTCACAACAGAGCTGCCCAAGGGTGTCCATCTTAGTGGCAGCTCTGTAAGGAGAGCTCATGGCTCCCTCAAACCACAGCAGAGGTTCCCAGCTGGGGAGGGAGCAGAGCACAATTCCCTGGGGAACACTCTGGCAAAGCCAACAGCTTCCTCCTCCATTCCGTTTGAGAAATCTCAGTCTACCACATTGTTTAGGGAAGTGATGCTGCCCGTTGGGTATGGTGTTGAGAACATGTGATTTCCAAGTCCTCTCAAGTCATATCTTTTCCATTCAAAGTAAACCCAGTGCCGACTCCAGATGCTTGCCAGGCAGTGGGAACCCCAGGCCAGTTTCAAAGAGCAGTCATTTGAATTAAGCATCATTTTACATCTTTTATGCCTAATCGCTACACAGGCCACACACACTCATAACCACATGCCACACACGCCCTTCCAGTGGTCCAGAGAATTGATGCTGGCCGTATTCTCAAACCCCGCCCGAGGTGAATCCTCAGGCAGCCTGGACAGCAACAGATCTGTGTCCCTTTCCTGACTGAGTTTAATATCATTCAACAAGTGTTTCCAGGGAAATTCCTGTGTGTCCCCCCAGACTCTTTCCAGTGAGAAGGAAGCAGACACAGCCCCGGCCTTCAGGCAGCCTGAAGGCTCACCATACAGGGGACCAGCAGAGAGCACAGCTCAGGCCACGGGAGCCCCCCACGGTGGGGAAAGGCCCAGAGTGCCACAGGTCAGGGCACTCTCCGCCCCAGACACCTGGCAGGCAGGCTGGAAGATGATACCAGCGACAGAGTCTGTGCTGGACCCTCCCCTGGCCCCAGACATTCCAGATTCACACATGAGTTTCCTCCAAGCAATGCCAGCCGGTGGCCATGCACAGCCTCGGGCCGCCAGCCGCCCCAGGGTCAGTTCCAGGGGAGAAATTGCTTTGGTTTAGGGTTTGGGAGTGAAAATAAACACTCTGGGTTTTATAGGTTCACCGTGTTGGCTGCTGTTTTCCTTTCCAGCAGCTGCTCAATCAGGCCTTTCATTCAGAAGCCAGTGGCCTCTGAGGAAGCCCTGGGCAGTGCCCTCAAAGCTCAAGGGATGTTTATTTGAGGGAGGGGGCGGGGCCAGGATGGAAAGTGTGACATCTCTGCAGGCTAGGACCAGGCCGACCCTGCCTGCAGTCCCCAGAGGAGCACACTGGCTCCTGGTGTGGGTTCCCTGGAAGAGTTCCCCCTCTGAGGGTTGTCCGCCAGCCCAGCCCACAGAGGACAAGGGGCCTTCCACCTGGGCCCCACCTCACCGCTGCCCCATACAAACCCACCGCCTGCACCCCACCTCTCATGCCCTCCCCAAAGGAAGAGGAAGCAAGGGCATGAGTTATCCACTTCTTTTTCTCAGAGTATGTTCTAACTGTCAGAGAGCATCCTGCGGAAGTTTCCCAGGAAGTTACAGCTGCAGATATGGGTGCTGGTTTTGCATACGCTTTGCAGAGGGCGCTCTCAGGACCCTGGACCCAAAGCACAGAAGAGAAATTGCTCCATCCACCCTGCGCCGGGCTGCATGGGGCTGGAGAACAGGCCACTGAGAGGAGAGGACTGTGGGCAAGCACAGCTGCTGTGGAGGAGGAACCAGAGTGGTCTCCCAGGAGGAGGGGGCCGGGAAGGAGGACGGGGATGGCTCAACACTGTGGTGCCATTCGGCGAACAGAGGGTCCCTCCCATAGAAGAACTCATTCTCCTCAACTAAATAGCAAGCATTTGGAGGGTGGTGTGCCACTTGTCAGTTATTTCAACTCAAGCAATTTCCTCAAGCTATCTGAGTCTCAGTTTTTCATCTGCAAAATGGGGATGTTAAATTCTTCCTTCATGGGAAAGTTGCAAGGGTTACATGAAACAAGGTCAGCAAAGGGCCTGGGCTCCCAGTGAGCACTCAGTAAGTGTTAGTTCTTTAGATATCAAGTGCTGTGAGTTCAAAGGTAAGACCAGGTCCCTTCCTGGAGGAGTTTGTGGTCATGGTCGGAAGGATGTGGCAAAGATGGACAGCAATTGTTCTAAGCAGTGAGTCAAGGCTTTGAGAAAGGTGCTGGCAAGGTGCTGGCCAGGTGCTGATGCCAACCAGCTCAGCTTGGGGAAGAGTCAGAGGGCATCTGGGCTGGGTCTTGAAAGATGAGTAGGAGTTCGCTGGGTTAAAAATAGGGAGGAAATGCATTCTAAGCAGAGAGAACACTGAATACAAAGGCTAGGACTATGAAAGAGCTCAACAAATGTTGACAAAAGTTGGTGGGGCCAGATCTAGCAGACAGAGGTGAGTCAGGGAAAGAGGAAACCGGCAAAGTACACAAGGGTCAGAGCACAAACGAGTTGTGTGCCAGGCTGGAGAGGCCGGGACGTATTTGTCAGTGCCTACATTTGAAATCAGTGGAGTGACTTGAGCAGATTGGTCTGGGGCGGTGTGGAAGGTAGCAGGGGGGCCGGGAGATGACCAGAGTCCAGATAAGACGGGGCAGGGCCACTTGTCGGGAACATCTCCAAGAGAGATTCAGGAGCCAGAATCAACAGGACTGGGTGACTGATGGTTTCCAACCTGATGGATCATAGACATACACTGATGTGACACCAGGACCAAGGCAGGAAATGCAGGAGGCCTGGATCAGAGAGGGGCGGGGCATGTTCACAAGGAGTTCTGTTTGGACAGGACGAACTGAGGGGCCTCTGGGGCATTCAGGGGGAGATAGCTAAGATGTGGCTGGATGTAGGGGCTCCTAGGAAGTAAAGACCTGGAAGCTTCCCTGACATGAGTGGTCACTGGAGCTGGGGGGTGCGACCCCAGTGCCCAGAGAAGAGGACACAGACAGGCTCCAGGCACATCAGGCTTAGCGGCAGTGAAGCTCCTGAGCAGAAACAGGCAGCACAGCAGGAGGCCCTGGAGAGGGGGGTCCCGGGGGCCATGGGCAGAGGGGCTTTCAGGAGGAGGGGACAGTCAGAAAAGCCAAACCCTGCAGAGGTTTGGCCACCTGACAGCCAGGACACCACTGTGACCATGACAACAGCAGCCACCTCCACAAACACAGGCCCCACCCGCAGGAGAAGCCTCAGGCCATGTTCCCCGTGGTCCAAAGACCCGAGGCTCAGTTCCCAGCTCTCAGTCCCTGGTCCTGGTCTCCTCCCTTCTCCCACCTACCAGAAAAAGAGTCCTTGTCCATGGCGGGCAGGTCCCGGGCCTGGTACATGTAGCAGCGTAGATGGTAGCGGTTCCCGTCTGCAACGAGGAAGAAACAGAGATGCCGAGTGAGGGGCTGGGGTGGCTAAGAGCTGGGGCTAGAGGTGAGGTAGAGTCTGTCCCTAGGAAGGGCAACAGAAGAGAGGCTGAACACAGAAATGACACATGTCACACTGTGCGGCAGCGAGCCGCTCACAGGATCAGAACAGACCACAGCTTAAAGGTGACACCTGAGGGATGCCTCCTTGGGCCTGGCAAGAGTTGAGGAAAGGAGGCAGAGAAGGGGGAGGAAGAGGAGCGGAGGCACAATAGATAATGGGAGCGGCCAGAATGCACAGGGCCTTGAACGCCTGCTTTCAACCTCAGAGTTGACACACACACCACATTGGTGGGCACACACACACAAACACACACACACACCCAAAAGACACTGACCCACCAAAAAGCACACAGACTCAATTCTACACCGCGCCCACATCTACACCTGACTATATAACCCCACACAGACAAAGCGTGAGGTTACACACCCATGCACATCACCCCAGAGACACCTCCAAGCGTTACTTACAGTCGAAGATGCAGGAAATCGTGGGTCTGTTCACGCCGAAGCTCAAGGTGGAGACGGACACCGAATCTTCACTCCTGTCGTCCACCACGCCGCCCTGGAGACACAGAGCCGGTCATGGTAGAGTCTGACCCCAGAGCCTGGGGGTGGCAGGGAGACTGATACAGAGAGACAAGCTCCCGCGTCAGGAGACCTCCAGACAACGTTCCTGGGCTGCCAGGAGCTGGGCTGTCAGCCCTAACTTGACTCCAAGTAGTGCCTCCTTACTACAGAATCCCCAGACCCAACGTCAAGTCCACAGGGAAATTCTTCTCCCTCTCTAGTGGGGACCAGACATGGCAGATGGAATTTTGAGTTCTTCTGGTCCAAGAGGTTAGAGTTTGACAGAAGGAAGGACTCTAAGCGGCTCTCCAGGGAAGAAGCCAATGGCAACCTACACCTGGGATGAGTTAAGAGGGCCCAGTCTAGTACCTCTGTCCACGCCCTGTGCATCTGGAGACAGTGCTGGTGCCAGGGACACACAGGCCCCAAGCTAGTCCTCATCTCTGAGAGAGGCTGCACTGCATCTTCTCCACCTCTCACCAGCGCCCACTGCACTGAGGGCAAGAAGAGGGTTCAGGCTGAGGCCAGGGACAGGGACAGGAGTGGGAGGCAGGGGGGTCTACACTCAGGCTCAGAAGCCAGTCTATCAGTTTACTGGATAAGCTAGACGGTCAGTCCCTCACCTCGTCCTCATCAGCATGGGGCCATGAACCATCTTCCCTGGAACAGTGCCCACCTCCCTGTGAACGGCTTCCCCCCAACCACCACCTCTGCCGCACTGCAGCCCCTCCTCAGGGCCTTGCATGGTTTGGGTGGCTCAGGGACCCAGCAGGGATCAAGACCGCCACAAGAATAGGAAAGGCGCCAGTCACACCCCAGCCCAGCCTCCCAGACTTGGCTTTCTGTGACACCAGGCCCACCAGCCTCCCATGGCCAGGAGCCCAGCAGAGGCACTGGGAAGAGCTGGACAGCATCTCCACGCTGCCCACTCCCTCTGTGGTCACTCTGATTTCTCCAAGTCCCTCTCTCTCGCCCCACACTGTCACCTTGCCCAATCCCTCTTCCCAACACACAAGCACACACACGCAGGAAGAAAACCCTGGCCTCCTCTTGGACGGCCTGTTCATACCACCCGGGTCTGCCCAGAGTGGCCACTTCCCAGGGCGTTTCTGCTGGGTGCTCTGACCAGCACCTGGCTGCAGCCATTTCCCAGGAATCTCGAGCTCTCCCCAGGCCCTGGAGCTCCACAGTCCCCAATGCCTCCAAATACAGCTGCACAGCCCCTTCTGTGGTCCACCTCTCCAAACCATGCCCACCTTCAGGGCCTAGCCCCAGACCCCTGGCCCAAGATGCCGCCCTGGACGCCTGTTCTCCCACTCTGATCTGCCCACACCCAGAACCAGAACCAGCCTCACTACCCACAGTCACCAGGTGGCTCCCCGGCCGGCAGCTCTCACCACCTGAAGCGTCCCGGTCAGATCTCCGGTGACCCGGCCCATCTTCCCCATCCAACACCAGCGCTTACTTCCCCCAAACCCAGCCCTCAGCTTCAGGCAGGCCGTGCTCCTCAAAGCTGGTCCAGACTCACACCTGTTCCCATCACAGGCTTGTGCTGTTCCCTGGCCAGAAGTGCCTCCTTCCTTTGGCCACAACTTCAACACAAGCTCTGGAATCAGATTGCTTGGGCTCCAATTCTGGCCCTGCCGTTTACTAGCTGTGGGACTTTGGGCAGGTTGCTTAACCTCTCTGAACCAGTCTCCCTGTAAATTTGAGATAATTCTACAGTGTCTATCTCAGAGAGTTGCTGTGATTGTTAAGGGGATAAATTACATGTTGTTCTTAGCACATCACCTGGCACATAATAAATACTCAATAAACGTTTGCTCTGAACGTCCTTATGAGAAAGAAGGCACAGTGGGGTGGGGGAGGGTGGGCCATAAATTACGAAGTTAGCAATTGTGCTCAGGGGTGGCACTCATAGATCCCGTGTTTGTTCAAAATTATTCCAGGAGTCAGAAAAGTGGACGTTTCAGGAGCCACAGGCCTGGGCAGAAATCACAATCAATCAAGCAAGCAGTCTCTCAACACATACACACATGCACAGACACACACACACACACAGGAGAGTAGGATAATAGGGAGGGGTGTCATACTACAGACAGGGAAGGACCCAAAGGCCACGAGGCCTGAAATCCTCCCTCCCAGGCAGGTGTGGACCCCAGGCGTCCTGGGCTCCCACCAGGAGAGGCATTTGGCTTGGCCCCCTGCGCCGGCATCCCGCCAGAGCATGCACCAAGTCCAGCGGCTAATAGTTCCCAGTTTTGGGGTCTGCGAGGCTGCATGTAGGGCTAGACCTGGGGGACCCAGCAGGCCACCCCAGGCGTGAGGTGCAAGGACGCCAAGGAAAGCAGATCAGGACGCTGGAAACAGGGCTTGGCCAGCCCCCGGTGCAACAAAGCGTAGCACATGCAGCTGGGTGCACCTTGGTGGGGGTGAGATGGGCTTGGCTGGGGGCGGGTGCAAGGCCCAGGACTCTGCAGCCCCTCCACCTCAGTTTGGCAACACAGCCGCGCCCCTCACAGGCAGGGCGCTGGAATGAATACAGACAGGGAAGCCGCCGCCGGCTCCCACAGGACCCGTGACTCCTTCTCTCCCTCCCAGTGCCGACGGGGACCTCCCTGCTCGCGGATGGCTGCCAGTGCACATCCCCACTCACCTCGCACCTCCTCTAGATGGCCCCCCAGCCGCCTCCCGTCGGCACCACTCCCACCAAAATGTCTCTGTCTGGGGCTTTGGCAGCACTCTCTGGGTCTCTGTCCAAGGGCAGGGCCACCCATCTGTGATCAGAAAAGGTGTCTCCTCCCTGGGATTTCCATGAAGGCCAGGGTCACATACCCCAGGCTAGCTCCGTGGCTGGCCCACAGCAGGCCATGGCACTGAGAAGGACCATCCTTCTCAGGGAGGACCAGCATTCCCTCCGGGAATGCCCCCCTCACTGGCTCCTCCATCCGCCGCCTCCAGAATCTCCCTCCCCACTCCACAGGGCCCACTGCCACCCCACTCCCTCTGCCACCTGGGTGTGGACCTGACTCCTCCTTCCCTTCTCTTCCCAGCTCAAGGAGACCGACAGGGCTTGCTGGGAAGAAGCAGGGAGAACCAGGAGCTGGGCTGACGGATGCCCACTAAGTTCAGCCCCTCTCAGGAGAGCCCGCACAGCTGCCCTGCTTCCCATCCTGGGCAGAATTCCACCCGCACAGCTGGCCAACGTCTTTACATCCTCCAGCTCCCTGACCCTCCCAGGGGGACTTGAGCTCGCCACACATCCTCCTCAAACCCTGGGAGCAGAGGAGGCCAGCCGGCCCAGCCGTGGCCTCTAAATTGAGTCTCCAGCAGTCAGGACCCCCACACTCCCGCTGGCTTCCACGCTCAAACCAGCTGGAACCCTCTGGGGTCCCCTTTCTTGACCCCAGGCCTCTTGCACGTGGGTCTCTCTGCCCCATTCCTTCCCTGGCTTTATCCTCAGGCACCCAGTTCCTCATCTTCAAGGTCCCCTGCAAGGATGAGTTAAGCACCCCTCCGATGTGCTCCCACAGTGTCCCGAATTTCCCCTTACTGCATCTACCACCCCCCATTGTAAATACCTGTTTACCTGTCTGTCCCCTCCCACAGACAGAATGCCTCACACGCAGCAGGTGCTTGATAAATAATTGGAGGATGGATGGATGGATGGATGGATGAATGAATGCGGACATGCCACAGGTGAGAACACCAGCATAAGCTTTGGGGAGAGGTGACAACAAAGGCCAGCCTGCCGCCCAGGTCAGGGGGTCAGCCTGTGCACTAACACAGATAATCCAATGGCACGCTTTCTTCACTCTGAAGTGTATTTTGGTTTCCATGTGTGGACAGGCAGGGCTCACACTTGGGGACTTCCAAAGAACGAAGCCTCAAGAAACCTGATTCAGGAGCTTCAGGGCAGCACGTCCCTCCCATCAGCCCTGCCCTCTGATGTGCCACACAGGTTCTTTGAACACCTACCTCGTGCCAGGTCTTTCCCACAGTCAAGTTGGAAAATGGATATTACTGCGCATGGAAACATAAAATGTCACCTCCCCCAAGAGGCCCTCCCTGACTAAACCATCGAAAACCACATTCACATCCACACCCTCACAAGCACCGTCACACGTCCACCCGCGCACTCACACACCCCAGCCCGACACACGCTCACAAACTCCACCCCAGCACCCCAACCACACACACGCTCTCCCCCCAACCCCAGACGCATCACACACACACACCTCCCCACCCCACCCTCCCCGACACACTCACGCGCACACACACCCCCGCAATGGCGCTCTCTACTCTCTTCTGCAGCTTCATGGTCCTCAGCGCACTTGTTACCCCAGACATCCGATACATTAAGGTTTGTTACCGCGCCCCTAGAGTGTGGGCTCCGAGAGGGCACTACCATGTCGCCTGAGCCTACTCCGGTGCCCGGTACAGAAAGGCCTCAGTAAATATTTACTGAATCAACAAATAAAATCCAAGCTGAGCACCCTTACCTCTGTAAGTGCCCCTGCATTACACAGTCGCCCTTTTTCTGGGCGGAATTGTTTGAGCTAAAGGAACTTTCTGGGGGCTGAGCCTGACTCTGAGGGAAGGATCCCCAAGACAGAGATGACATAGACAGAGATGAGAGAGGGTAAGTGGAGGCACAGCAGGGACAACTCAGGTTTGCCCCCTTTAACGTCTATCCTCCCAGTGACACGGCACTGAACAGGCCCAAGGATCCTCCTAAGAGCTGGGACGCACACACTCGATCCTGATGACACCTAACACGCTCATGCCTTCCTCTCAGAGACGGGAAGCTATGGTGCATGAAGGCAAAGCAATTGCATTGTCGCAAGACCAACGAGCGGCCGCAGACACCTCCGACTCAGTTTGAGGGCCTGCGTTTCAGGTGTGCAGAGTGGAAAGTCAAGTGATCCACTCACTTACAGACCCGGAAGCTCCAGCTAGAGAATGGCCAGGCTGCCATTCCCCGGACATCAGAGT